AGCTTGCATCTTCAATAAGGTTGTTGAGGATATGTATGGGAATGGAAGTACTGTTGCCTGGAAGAGCAACATAGTTATAAGGAGAAAGAATCAGGTGTTGAGAAAAGACATTGTTTAATCTGTTTGTAAGGATTTTAGTATATATTTTTTGGCATGTTCTATTAGACTGATAGGGCGAGTTAAGTTGAGATTTCCATCAAATGTGCTTCTTTTTGGGATGAGATAGATTCGACTGTGTTCTATTATTTCAGAATGTAGTTTTTAGAAAGGTATCTGTTTAGGAGAGCAACAAATGCAGTTATATAATGGTGGTTGAGATGTTTGAACATTTCATAGCTTATGCCTGTAGGGCTACAAGCTTTGTTGTTAGGAAGCTTGGCAATAGTTTGGAAGACCTCTTCAATTGTAATAGAGGGTTGTACCAGTCTGGGTTGATGTGGGATAAAGGAGAGTAATGTTGTTGCCAGATATTTTTGAAAAGTAGATGGTTAATAGGTTTATGTGAAGTCCAATTAGTGAAGTGTTGTTGTATATGTCGTTTGATGTCTGTAGAGTTTGTAACAAGTTGGTTTGGAAGCTTGATATTAGAAAATGAATAGGAGTCTTGTAGCGATCAAGTATACTATTAATTGCATGAGTGGGCCTGGAAACAAGAGTTTTACATCTTTTTTCTGAAGCTTGGTTGATTTGTTGTCTGAGATGAAGTGAATATTCTAGGTGATAAGCATGGCATACCTGTTTCCAAACAGTATAAGCTTCTTCAAGCCATACTTGGATATAGGCAGGATCCAATATTGAAGGTGACTGAAGATTGCACTTTGTATATTGATTAATTAATAGAATATCTAAATGAATATATTGCAAATGCATATCTGACTGGTCGGTATTAGAGTGAATTGTTTTGATAAGGTGGCTGAGTTTTTTAAGTCCTGTATAAAGTGCAGTACAGTGTGGGCTATATTTATAGCTATAGCTACGTTTGCATGTGACTTTGTTGGGAACCTTTTTAATTGCAGCCTGTATAATATAGTGCTGGATCTTGTACCAGATGCTATCAATGCTAATAGTAGAATCGGTAGAAGGTAGGAATACGATGCCATTGAAAAAGTTCAGTGGCAAAGTCAGAGAACTCTAGCCAGTGATTAGAAGATGTTGATTTGTAGTTAAAAATTCAGCGACAAATATTGGTATGTAAATGAGGTGGTTTGCTATATGCATTTGGAAAAGTCCAG